GAAACGTCAGGAGAGAATGCCTCTAGAGCATGGCCATATAGCCTGAAAAAACCTACAACAACCCAGTGATTCTGGCCATGAAAGCCTTTGATTTTGAGTGTTTCTACATTAGTGCTGCAAAAGTGAAAATCAAAGATGCCTCATATTCCTATAATGACTCTGTAGAGTGGGAGTTTTGAGTGATGTTGTTCATCGCACAACCGAGTAACATGCAGCAACTGTGGAAAGTTCCTTTTTATACATAGTCATTAATATTTTTTTTTACTTGTCAGGAGCAACTTGAGGAACTACAAGTTGCTTCTGGTGTGAGAGAATTAGCCGTCTACAAGGACGTTGCCCAGGGGATACCCAGATGTTTTGATGCTTTACCATCCTTGTGGGAGGCTTCTCTCATATCCCCACATGGGGAGCCGGAGCTGACAGAGGGAGCTCATCCGCTCTCTCCCCAGATTTGAACCTGTGACCTGTCAGTCTTCAATTCTGCCGGCACAATAATAATAATAATAATAATAATAATAATAATAATAATAATAATCTTTATATATACCCCGCCACTATCTCCCCAAGGGACTCGGAGCGGCTTACATGAGGCCAAGCCCAACAACACATCAATAAAACACAAGGATTAGCCGCACCGAGTCCCCATTGGGGAGATGGTAGTGGGGTATAAATAAAGATTATTATTATTATTATTATTATTATTATTATTATTATTATTATTTAACCCATTCCGTCACCGGGAGCTCCTTAATGAGACATATTAATGCCATTAATGAGCCATTAATGAGACACGGCATCTCCGGTTATTCACTCTTACAACCTGTGTGTGCGGAGTGAAATCTATAGGGCCCAAACGGGAAAGGCCCCAAAAATTGGCTTGCTTGTCCTGATAGCTCTCAATAGTAACAATTCACTGTTTAAAATAGGTTGTAATATCCCAACGGTACCAGATCCCAGCTAAGCAGGGTTAGACCTGCTTGGTACTTAAACAGGAGATTGCCAATTAAAACCAGATGCTGAAAATAATAATCATAATAATAATAATAATAGTAATAATAATAATAATAATAATAATAATAATAATAATAATAATAATAATAAACCTTTATTTATACCCCGCTAGCATCTCCCGTAGGACTTGGTGCAGCTTACAAAAGGCCGAGCCCAAATACATAATAAAAACATAACAACAACAATACAGCAATAAATAACTCATAACAAAATAAAAACAATACAGTAATGACACAACGCATTTAAAAACCTGAGGCAGGGCCAAGTGCAAGGGTTAAAATTAAAAATGCTGGGCATGTCCAAGGGAAATAGGATGGATATTTTAGGATAGGTAGGCGTGCAGACAATTCTAAGTCTCTCATAAAGTGCATTTGGGACATATTGCTTAGGGTTCCTTATTCTGGGAAGGCACACTGGAACATCCACGTTTTCAAGCTCCTTCTAAAGACTGCCAATTTTGGGGCTTGCCTGATGTCCTTGGGGAGGGAATTCCAGAGTCGCGGGGCCACCACCGAAAAGGCCCTGTCCCTCGTCCCCACCAATCGTGCTTGTGATGCAGGTGGGATTGTGAGCAGGGCCTCTCCAGATGAACGAAGAGATCATGTGGGTTCGTATACAGAAATGCGGTCACGCAGGTAGATGGGTCCCAAACCGTTCAGGGCTTTGTAGGTAAGCACCCGCACCTTGAATTGGACCCGGTAAATGAACGGCAGCCAATGGAGCTCCTTAAACAGGAGGGTTGACCTCTCCCTGTAAGGAATATAGAATCTTAATGCCTTTCCAGACAGGTCCTATATCCCAGGTGTTTTGCTTTAAACTGGATTATATGAGTTCACACTGCCAAATAATCTGGGACAAACAGAAAACCTGGGATCAGATACTGGGATATAGGGCTTGTCTGGAAGAGCTCTAAGGCAACTCTATACAAGTCATAGGGTCACTATAAGTTGACAGGTGACCTGAAGGCATAGATATACTCACAGACCACTTACTTTCAGACATAGTTTAACTTAAAAAAATCAATGTTTCAAAACCAAAGGGAAGCCTATACAGCCCTAGCAGAATGCCTAGAGAGATAACTAGCCCAAAGATCTACTTAAGTTGCCCACTGACCTGCATGCTCTCATACCTGCCTAAGCCTCCAGTGGCCTCCCCTTTGTTTAGGAGCTCCATTTGCTTAAAAATCCTTTGAATTTTGTGTTTTTCTATACCCACCCACCTCCATTATCAAGAATTAATTTATTAGTGTAATATATTTTATTTGAAACATTTATCATATAATGGCTTTCTGCTTTAATACAAGTAGCCATGGTGGGTTTGAAGTTCAGAGGTTCCTTTTGAGCAGGCGTCAGTTCTCTTTCTGTCTCTCCTTTAGAAAAGCAAGAGTTTATACTGAAATACCATTCTTCCAAAAAGTTACATATTTTAGTGCTTCAAATGTTAGTCCTGTTTCTGGGTATATTTGATCAGCTGATTCCAAAATTGGCACCAGTTTTCCTCCATCAGCTCTAGTTTTTGAGATACAGAACATATGCCATCTACCTGTCACCATCTGTTTGCCGATAGAAAACCAGAATAACCATATCTGAGAAACGAGAAATAATGAGGTTTATCCAATGCAATTTTTTGAACCAGTGCCCCAAATAACCCTAAGAACAGATCTAAAAGCCAAGACAGTGAGATTTTTATGTTGGTCTGTGTTACTAACTATAATAAAGTACAAATGGATAAATCTATATAAATAAAAATGTAATGTTCGTTTGTGGGATTAACATAACTCAAAAACCACTGGGTGAATTGACACCAAATTTGGACACAATACACCTATCAGGCCAACGAGTGACCATCTATATAAATAAAAATGTAATGTTCGTTTGTGGGATTAACATAACTCCAAAACCACTGGACGAATTGACACCAAATTTGGACACAATACACCTATCAGGCCAACAAGTGACCATCACTCATAAAAACACTGAAAAACACAGCAGAAGAGACTTAAAAAGCCAAAAAAAACCATTACAACACATGCACAAAACCACATATATATGCACACATATATACATACACAAACACATATGCACAGACTGGGCCATAGCAACGCATGGCAGGGGACAGCTAGTCACAATATAAGCAGGAAGAATAGCAAGAGAGAAAGAGGGAAGGAAGGAGAGAAGGAAAGAAAGAAAGGGAGAGAAGGAAATAAAGTGAATGAGGGAAGGAAGGAGAGAAGGAACAAAAAAGGAGGGAGGGAGGGAGGGAAGGAAAGAAAGAAAGAAAGGTAGAGAAGGAAAGAAGAGAAGGAAATAAAAAAGTGAAAGAGGGAAGGAAGGATAGAAGGAACGAAATAGAGAAAGAGGGAAGGAAGGAAGGAGAGAAGGAAAGAGAATGGTAGAGAGGGAAAGAAGGAGAGAAGGAAATAAAAAAGTGAAAGAGGGAAGGAAGGAGAGAAGGAACGAAAGAGAAAGAGGGAGGGAGGGAGGGAGGGAAGGAAGGAGGAAGGAAGGAAGGAAGGAAGGAAGGAAGGAAGGAAGGAAGGAAGGAAGGAAGGAAGGAGAAGAGGGAAAGAAGATTAGGGGAGGGAAAGAAAAAGAGGGGAAGGAAGGAAAGAGAGCGAATAAAGGAGAGAAGGAAAGAAGGAGAGAAAGAAAGAAAGAAAGAAAGAAAGAAAGAAAGAAAGAAAGAAAGAGGAGGAAGGAAGGAAGGAAGGAAGGAAGGAAGGAAGGAAGGAAGGAAGGAAGGAAGGAAGGGAAGGAAAGAGACAAGGAAGGATGGAACCAAAGAGCAAAGGAAGCGAGAAAAGAAACAGGCAGAGAAGAAAGAAAAAAGGGAAAGAAAATGAGGGAAGGAAGGAAAGAGGGAAGGAAGGAAGGAGAGAAAGAAAGAAAGAAGGAGAAAAAGAGGGAGGGAAGGTTGGCCACAGCAACGCGTGGCGGGTACAGTTAGATACACGTGTGTGTATACACACATATACACACAAAAAACACATATACACAGACTGGGCCACAGCAACACGTGGCAGGGGACGGCTACTCATAAAAACACTGAAAAACACAGCACAAGAGACTTAACAAACCAAAACACAAAAAAATAGATTACAATGCATGCGCAAAACCACACATATATACGCAAACACACATGTACACAAATATATACACACACATATATACACACAAAACACATATACACTGACTGGGCCACAGCAACGCGTGGCAGGTACAGCTAGATACACATATACACAAATATATACACACACATATACACACAAAAAACACATATGCACAGATTGGGCCACAGCAACGCATGGCAGGGGATGGCTAGTCACTCATAAAAACACTGAAAAACACAGCACAAGAGATTTAACAAGCCAAAAAACAAAAAAATACATTACAATGCATGGGTAAAACCACACACATATATACACACACATATATACACACAAAACACATATACACAGACTGGGCCACAGCAACGCATGGCAAGGGACAAACTAGTGAGTAATAAAAACTGGAAGGAGACAACTTAATCTTTGCTTGGCACCAACTCACCCTCTTCGCAGCCACAATCTCATCCTGCAAATGCTGTTCCCTTTCACAGCCGAGGTTGTGTGTATTAAATTAGTATAAAGGTTTGGCCACCTTCATCTATAGTTTGGGCTTGGCTTCATGTAAGCCGCTCTGAGTCCCCTTTGGGGAGATGGTAGTGGGGTATAAATAAAGTTTATTATTATTATTATTATTATTATTATTATTATTATTATTAATATCAGGTATGGGCAAACTTGGGCCCTCCAGGTGTTTTGGACTTCAACTCCCACAATCCATAACAGCCGGTAGGCTATTAGGAATTGTAGGAGTGGAAGTCCAACACTCCTGGAGTGCTGAAGTTTGCCCATGCCTGATCTACATTCTCAGCCCAAGAGGGGAAATGTAGTCTCTCCTGCCCTCCTTCCTTCCCTCCTCTGACCCTTCCCATAGGAAGGTTCTCACCTTGACCACATCTTGGTTGATCTGTTTGGGGTCTCTTTCCACCAAATCGATCTCTTTGGTGAGGGGGTCCCGGGAGTCCATCTTCCCCAGGGTGATGTCTTCGTCCTCTTCATGTTGGGCCATGGTTCCTTCAGTCTTTTCCTGCTGCCTGGCTATTTTGCCTCTGAAGAGCAGCGGCTGCCAGTTGTCCCTGGCTGTCAGACCAGAGGCAAGCTGCCTCCCCCTTCCTCTTTCCCACCTGCTAAGTCTTTCTGGACTGCAAGCAATTCGTAGGGAGAGGGAAGGCAGTTCTGAAAATAGTCCTCCCCAGAGACAGAATGAATGTGCCTCTAGGGCAGGGCAGAGTTGTTTTTAGCAGGGCTTTGCATAGTTATAATACAGAGCCTCCCCTCCCTTTTTAGTTCAGAGACACTGCACACCATAATTCTTCAGATGCTGTTATGGTCAGCACTACCCATTCATTGGGGTAAAGGGCACAAGCCCCCAGTTAAAGTGAAAAATTGTGAATTTAAACTGTGATTTTTTTTAACCTCAAGGAACAACGTGTTACACAACGCATATTTTAATCCAGCGTCCCAATGCCCCAAAACCCAGATGCAAAATAGTCTCAGACCAATAGTCAAGGTAAACAGAAAATCTTTGCTTTCTTAACTTTGCAGAGATGAAACAAAACTGGCAATGCTGCACACAAAAAATCAGCACTGTTGAAGCCGATAGGAACTTTAGGAGGGTCGTCCCCGGGAGGAGGGACCCTGAGACCCCACCAAAAAGGGATCGCTACTTTGGCGAGCTAGAGAAGCCTGATTTCAGCAATTTTATTGAGTTTAAAATAATTCAAAATAATCCTCACCAAAGATGAAGAAGTGGCACCGAAGACCCATTGTCTTTGAATGGATTTGTGATAGACATTAGGCTTGGGTAACCACGGAAAAATTTGGTTCTAAACTCGTTTCGTTTTTAGGGGGCCCTTGCGTTTCGTTTTTTTAAAGAATTCCGAAATTTTACTTTTAAAAATTTCGAAATATAATCGATTCGTTAATGGCGGATGCGATTGCGCAATATGCTAAAAAAACCTCCAAATGGGACAGGGGGAACTTCTGAAGCTTCCCTCTTCCTCTGTTGTTGACTGTTGGTGTGATAAAACACGCAACATGTTGTAGTTCAGCATGGTAGTAGCGTTGCTACTACAGGAGAAGGGGGAAGAGGGCTGCACAGCTGGAGGACAACAACTATAAAACTTGCACCAGACATGCGAAAATAATTATGAAATAATTACGAAATAATTACGAAATAAATTGAAAAAATTGTTTCAAATCTAATTTACTCCTCACACTATTCCTGCATGGCTCAATATTGGATCGTAAGCTAATTTAAATACGAATTAATAACAAATTACGAAATTAACGAACGAAACCGCCCAAGCCTAATAGACATTGATTACTTTATCCGGGTCTTCCTGTTGCCATCAGATAGGACACAATGGAGGGACTGGGGTGAACGTTTGTCATGGCAAGTTTTGAAAGGAGAAACAGTTTTGGGGGAAAAGACCCTCTCTAGGGTCTTCCGCCCCCCCCCCCAGGGTGACGTGATCAAAGGTGCCAAGCGAAACCTTTTCATTGAATGGGCCAACTACGAGGTTCAATTTGAGGTTTCCAAATCTATGTTTCCATGCATGAGTAATCATGATAAGAGTCCTTTGTGTTTGCTAATTGTCCTTTTCAACAGCTGGCTGCTTCCTTGATGAGTTTCCCCCAAGGGGGAGGGAAAGGGGCGATGGGTTGGGTGCCAGGGCAAAAAATGAGGAAAACTACACGGGGAAATCATAGGAATCCAAAGAAATTCATATCAAGCATCCCTTCCCACCCCCTGCCCCCCAGAGAAATTGATTAAAATAATAACTTTATTAAAATATGTGTCCATAATTCATACTGGGGAAGTTCAGATGCAAAAATGAGTTCTTTAGAGCCAAAAAGAATTGAAGAAAGTCCAACAGTCACAAAAGGAGCTGGGTGATTTCCATTGAGCCAAGAAATGGATTCCGGTAGCGCCAGGATCGAGACTTGTCCTTGGCCCTTGGAAAACTGTAACTCTTTCCAAGGGCTGGAGCCCAGGGACCAATCTGCTCCCTGAAAACCTCCTGGGGTCCTTGCTGTTGTTAGTGTCTTGGCAAATTGACCAAGACCTAACCCCTATTGTGCAGTCTGGTGCCCTTGCCCTTTGCAGAACTATAAGTTACCATCCCTAATTGGCGGGGGGGACGGGACATGTTCGACTTCACTGTAACATATTTACACAGTCTTTGTAATAATAAACATAAAATAAAGTGTCTTCTAAGCAACAAATGGGAAATCAAAACAACCTGAAGTAAATAGCTATTTCACCATCAGCATCTCCTGCTGGAACTCCACACTGGTGAAACAGAACTCCAGCAGTAGCCCACCAGAAATCCAGCACCCACCACAATGTATTCAAAAAACTCAAACAGTTATAGCCCTTTGATCGTGGCACAAGATTGCTGCTTGACCTACTTATTCAGCTAAACAAGATGATTACAAACAGTAAGGTTTTTCTTCACACATATACTTGTGTCCTGCAAGGACTTACCATAACACAACGCTCTAGAAATCTCTAGCTCCTCCAGCATGGCTCTAGGATCAGCCTCTGGCAAAACGTGACCAAAGAGTTGCACTTGAGGATCTAGAAATTCCTATAGAGAAATTTTAATCAAACTTGTGAAAATGTCAAATCTGCAACAATCAAACTTGCAAACTGGGTGGGCTGGTTGGAATATGATGTATGAAGAGGAGAAGGTGCTTGTCTGCCCATTTGGATAAGGGTCACAACTACAAGGGAGCGGAAGGTCTTATTCTGAATGTGCACAGACGACATTGTCATCAGCATACTGGAGTTCTATAACAGATGTTGTTGTAACCTTGGTTTTGGCTTTCAGTCTCCTGAGGTTAAATAGCTTGCCATCTGTCCGATAGATGATTTCCACTCCGGTGAGAGAAGAAACCGTTGTCTGTTTGAATCAAGCATGAAAGTTGCAATTAGCCAGCTTGATTAGCATTGGGTTGTTGTAGGTTTTTCCGGGCTATATGGCCATGTTCTGGAGGCAATTTTTCTCCTGACGTTTCGCCTGCATCTATGGCAAGCATCCTCAGAGGTAGTGAGGTCTGTTGGAAGTAGGAAAAATGGGTTTATATATCTGTGGAATGACCAGGGTGAGACAAAGGACTTTTGTCTGCTGGGGCTAGGTGTGAATGTTTCAGCTGATCACCTTGATTAGCATTCAATGGCTTGGAAGTGCCTGGGGGGAATCTTTTGTTGAGAGTGATTTTATGTGCCTGTTTGTTTCCCCTCTGTTGTTTTGCTGTTGTAATTTTTGAGTTTTTTAATACTGGTAGCCAGATTTTGTTCATTTTCATGGTTTCTTCCTTTCTGTTGAAATTGTCCACGTGCTTGTGGATTTCAATGGCTTCTCTGTATAGTCCGACATGGTGGTTGTGAGAGTGGTCCAGCATTTCTGTGTTCTCGAATAATATGCTGTGTCCAGGTTGGTTCATCAGGTGCTCCAAAACATGGCCATATAGCCCGGAAAAACCTACAACAACCCAGTGATTCCGGCCATGAAAGCCTTCGACAATACATTGATTAGCATTGAGTAGCCTTGCAGCTGCAAAGCCCGCCTGTTGTTGCCTGGGGGGCATCCTTTGTTTGGGAGGTGTTAACTGGCACTTGATTGTTGGCTGTCTGGAATCCCCCTGTTTCTGAGTGGTGTTCTTTATTTGATTCTGGTAACCAGATTTTGTAAATTTTCATAGTTTCCTCCTTTCTGTTGAAGTTGTTCACATGCTTGTGGATTTCAGTGGCTTCTCTGTATAGTCTTATTTTAAAATTACATTTACCTGCTATTGGGGCAGGGCCTAAGCATGGATTACTAGCCACTGTGATGTGTTGACATCTGAAGTTGGCTCAAGAAGACCAGAGCCTCAATGAACTGCTAACTGGTGCTCCTGGCAGGTATGTGGTGGCATCTGGCCAGCTTTGAGGTGTGGCTGGGAAGGAGTAGCATGTGCCCGTAACGTTACTCTCGCTGCATAAGTGCACGCAACAGCTTTCCACCAGCTGGTGCTTTGAAAGGGGACCATGATGATGGGCACTACCAGCTGCAGCCTTCAGGGTTCTTGTCAGTAGTGTGCCATGAAAATGTGGCATTTGATGGCAAACCTCCTCGCACCCCACAGCTATGCGTTAGTCGCTCCTGTTTGCCTGGGATTGCAGTCTATCTCCCTAAATAAACTACAGTCTATTTCACTGTTGAAATGTGAAGCTGGTAATACATACCTGAAAGCAATCCTTGTAGTACAAAATAATTTGTACGGAGACTGTAAATCAAATAATTCCTTCGGTTTTATTTTAAAATCTATTTTAAATTTGATTTTTAAAATATTTTTTCATGATTGGGTTGCTGTGAATTTTCCGGGCTGTATGGCTATGTTCCAGAAGCATTCTCTCCTGATGTTTCACCCACATCTATGGCAGGCATCCTCAGAGGTTGTGAGGTCTGTTGGAAACTAGGCAAGTGGGTTTATATATCTGTGGAATGTCCAGAGTGGGAGAAAGAACTTTTGTCTAAAAAAACAAGATTATGGCAACAAGACTGATTGATAACACTGTTCAACGGAGAAAAAGTTGCGGGCCTGAAAATAGTTGTTCTTTTATGATTTTGGGGTGCTGAAAACGAAAATGACATTTAAAAATGTATATTGGCTCTAGTTTTTATGATATAAGCAATCACGTGATCACGTATGGTTGAAAAAATGCATGTTGCGACTTACACTATGGAAGATTCTAGAATACTCTAGAAAGTTTGATGACGCAGTATTAGTGCCGTGTGCAAAAGCCAGAAAGCCCTATATAAGGCCAGACTTTTGAACGGTGAGGGTCAGTCAGTTGAAGACTGAGACAGTATCGTTAAACATCGTTTTACATTGTTCTTTTTACTGTAGTTATGCCTCGCACGTGTGTAAATAAAGCACTATGGAAAAAAGATATCAAGGTAAATGGACTCCGTCAATGCTGTCAGACTACTGCTGGAGCATTGTAAGAGACAATCCTTTCCTTGAATACAAAAGAAAAGTCAAGAGAAGCAAACAGGATATAAACTAAAGTCACGATTAAAGCGACATTTAAACTTTCAGACTTTTCAACTGCATTAGGCCTACTAATATAGTTTCTTGCTGCACAAACATAAACAATAGACTAATTAAATAAATATTTCTCATGTATAAACTATTGGCAATATAATTTGACTAAAATTTAGTAAATATTCACGGTTTATATACATGCAGTAAGGTTAGGCGCATTATCATAATTATTTACGAATTACCTATTGTGGAGAAAATTGAAATAGCTGTTGCATAAAAACCAGAGCCAATTAACACATTTAATTATTATATTTGAATTCAGCATGTTAAATTTATTAAGAAACGGCACATTTCGTTTCCATAACTGAGAAAAACTGAAAATTTGTCGAACAGTGCTATCATTTAATGGCATCTATTAATACTCAAGGTGGCCAATTGCAACATTCACACTTGCCTCCAGCAGACAAGAGTACTTTCTCCTGGCACTCCACAGCTATGCGTTAGGAAGAGGGGCTGACCAAGGGAAGGTGGATGGATGGGATCCTCAAATTGACCGGATTGACCTTGAAGGAGCTGGGGGTCGTGACGGCCAACAGGGAGCTCTGGCGTGGGCTGGTCCATGAGGTCACGAAGAGTCTGAGACGGGGTTTCAAAGCCTGGTCCCCAGAGTCATACTCCAACAGACCATTATACTATATTGTCCCCTCTGCCACATGGAGTGTCTTTCCTCAACTTTCTAAATAAGTTCGCTTGGACCTGATTTACCTGGGAAAAAAAATCAGTGGAAGCCACACACCAGAGGAAGAAAAGCAAGCTCATTTGTTTTATTAAATGGGAAGGGAGGAATTAGTTTAATTCCAAATCCCAGCTGTTGTTGTGGGAGTGGAGTTTGGAAACGATGGAGGCCGGCACTCTAGAAATCGGTGCAGGATGTGGAGTTACCCCATTTGTTACCCTTCTGCCATGAGGATATCCCACCCACAAGTTGCAAATTAGAAAGCTTTTTCCTTTTGCTTCCTTGAAATGAGTCCTATGTAAATGATGTGGGTTAAATAGCTTTTCAGGTCTTGATTGGAAGAAAATCAGGAAGCCCTTTCTAAAGTCCAAGGTACTTATTCAGAGTATTATCACACCATACTGTTATATTGCCATTGTGATATATTAGTTCCACTTTTCCGCAGCCTTATCACATAATATTCTGCATTTCATTGTGTAATAGCTACACTTTTTCTCCCCCTTTTTTCTCCCCTCCCAAACAATCACTGATATATATATATTCTGTTCGTCGTGGGAGTTCTGTGTGCCATATTTGGTTCAATTCCATCATTGGTGGAGTTCAGAATGCTCTTTGATTGTAGGTGAACTATACATCCCAGTAACTACAACTCGCATATGTCATGGTCTATTTTCCCCCAAGAGCAAATGATGCACTTAAAGCAGAAATGTGGCAAGGGTGTAATACAACATTGGCAACCAGGTCTACATCAGGGGTCCTCAAACTTTTTAAACAGAGGGCCAGGTCACAGTCCCTCAAACTGTTGGAGGGCCGGATTATAATTTGAAAAAAAATGAATGAATTCCTATGCACACTGCACATATTTTATTTGTAGTGAAAAAAACACTTAAAACAATACAATAATTAAAATAAGAACAATTTTAACAAATATAAACTTATTAGTATTTCAACAGGAAGTGTGAACCTCCTTTTGGCTGATGAGATAGGATTGTTGTAGTTGTTGTGTGCTTTCAAGTTGACCCTGAGCAAGGGCCAGGTAAATGACCTTGGATGGCCGCATCCGGCCCCTGGGCCTTAGTTTGAGGACCCCTTGAGCTATGTCATGAGAGTGGATGGAGAGGATTTCAATGGAATAATGTGGCATAAAGGAGTGGCGTGATAAAGCCACGAATTCAAAGAAAGGAGACTAAAATTTGAAAATCTTGTTTTCACCTCTTCTCCCTGGTGCTGTTTTTGCCACCCGCTAGTCTCCCCCGTTTTCCTTCCGCCTGGCCACTTCCCTCATGTTCAGTTCCACTTTTTCAGCCTAATGTGAAAAGGCTTCTTTTCATGGAATCATACATGGTCATCAACATAGGTCTTAATGAAACAGGAAGAAACAGAGTCTTTGTTACTGAGGCTTCAGGGGAGAGGACCTTCTGTCCATCTGTCACTTCTGAGTCACGGTGAGGTAGATGGCACTGCAACAGCGTCCCAAACTGGTACAGAGCGGGGCCACCACAACATCCAGGATGCTAGCCCACAACGTGCGAATAGGAGGCATTGCCATCGTGCACAGCTGGATACAGGGCATTACACACCTGAGGAAAGAAATGCACAGCAGGTTGGAATTACACAAATGCTCCTAAGTCTCCTTTACAAACATGTAGGTTTTTATCTTTATCTCATCCTGAGTTTTTATCATTGTACTAGCTGTCCCCTGCCACGCGTTCCTGTGGCAGACTCTGGTGGTCAAGGGGGTTCTGTGTGGGAGGTTTGGCCCAATTCCATCTTTGGTGGGGTTCAGAATGTTCTGTGTTTGTAGGTGAACTATAAATCCCAGCAACTACAACTCCCAAATGTCAAGATTCTATTTTCCCCAAACTCCACCAGTGTTCACATTTGGGCATATTAAATATTCGTGTAGAGTTTGGTCCAGATCCATCATTGTTTGAGTCCACAGTGATCTCTGGATGTAGGTGAACTACAACTCCAAAACCAAAGGACACTGCCCACCAAACCCTTCCAGTATTTTCTGTTGGTCATGGGAGAACTGTGTGCCAAGTTTGGTTCAGTTCCATCGTTGGTGGGGTTCAGAATGCTCTTTGATTGTAGGTGAACTATAAATCCCAGCAACTACAACTCCCAAATGACAAAATCATTTTTTGTGTGTGAAGGACACACATTGGGTTGTTAGGTATCTTGTGTCCAAATTTGGTGTCAATTAGTCCAGCGGTTTTTGAGTTCTGTTAATCCCACAAACAAATATTACATTTTTATTTGTATAGATTTTACACATGTGGCCCACTCCTTATGACTGTGTTTGATTTTCTATTGTATTATTTTGTATTGTTTTGTTATATTTTATTCTTGTCTTATTTTATTTTATTATGATATTGCCTTACGTTTTTGTTACTGTATTGTAATGCATTTCTGGGCTTGGCCTCATGTAAGCCGCCCCGAGTCCCCTTTGGGGAGATGGTGGCGGGGTATAAATAAAGATGATGATGATGATGATGATGATGATGATGATGATGATGATTAAGGAACAAGATTACCTCATACATTTTGGTGCCCAAGGTGCATTATAAAATGATATTTCCACACTCACCCAAGTTAAGGTGCCTGGGATGCAAAGCTGGCTGAAATATTTTGGCAGAGGAGGCCAACAAAAGAAATAGGCCATACTTAAAGATTGTGCAGCTCACAATCATATCCTCTACTTATTTTATTTTATTTATTTACAACATTTCTACCCTGCTCTTCTCAACCCTTGAGGGGGGACTCTGAGCGGCTAACACTGGCAACAATTCAGATACAATATAACAACAATATAAAACCATAAATACACAATAGATTAAACACAACAACCTTAATTATATAGCCATTGCCATTATCATAACAATCTTCAGGTCCAGTTCAATGTCCAAAGTGCTGTTGTGCCTGCTAGCCAAAAGCCTGGTTCCAAAACTACTAAAGGAAAGGAGGGAGAACACTGATCTAATCTCAATGGGGAGCGTGAATTCCACAAGTGGGGAGTCACCACCGAGAAGGCCCTGTCCCTCGTCCCCACCACGCTAGGCGAGGGTGGGACCGAGAGCAGGGCCTCTCCGGTGGATCTTAAACTACGAGGGGATTATAGAGGGAGATACGTTTGGACAAGTAAGCTGGGCCAGAGTCGTGTAGGGCTTTATAGGCCAAGACCAGCACTTTGAATTGTGCTCGAAATGGACTGGCAGCCAGTGGACTTGACATAGCGGAGCAGGCCCGTAGCCAGGATTTTGTTGGGGATTTGTGATTGCGGGGGGGGGGGGCTGAGTCTGAGTGAAAGAGGGTCTACCCTAGCAAACCTTTTGTATCGTTACCCCAATACCCCCATGCATATGGGATATATTGAGCATGGTGATCAGATCATGATATGAATAAACATAACAGTTTAAATAATGTACCAGTAAGGCCTTTTCACAGACCACCATGAGAATTTCGGGGGGGGGGCTGAAGCCCCTCAAGCGCCCCCCTCCCCCCCGGGCTACATGCCTGTGTAGTGTGCTCCCTCTATGGCACTCCGTTGAGCAACCTTGCTGTCGCCTGTTGGACTAGTTGGAGTTTCCGAACAGCACTTCATAGACAAAAACTGTGACAGGTGACTATAAGAAGCATTCAGAGTTTGGCCAAAAGGGCATACAAAGCAACTGAAGGAAAATTATATCAACAAGAGGAATATACAAAGCTACCAAGGAAACCCTGAAATTTTTGTATTGGAAATACAAGGAAGGATAAGACTCTGTTCACTCCTCTCCTTCCCTCTTGCTAAATTCAAACTTCTTTCATACTTTGAATTCTATTATCAGCCATTAAAATAAGCAGAGGACAAAGTGGGAAAGTGTGGGGAGGAGAGAGAAACCAGATCATTTGAACAGCAACTGAGAAAGTGGAATGTCAGTAACTGGGACTGTCCCTGTTGACATTATCATAACAATCATCAGGTCCAGTTCAATGTCCAAACATGGGACAATTGGAAGCATATGTGGTCATGTGTGTGTGCTGGACAGCTGCAGGGTGGCTTTGGGACCCAAGAGGGGAGTGAAGGAAGAGCAAAGAGAATGGAGACCCTCACCAGATGTGAACGCAGCCCAAGCAGGCAAAGAGGAAACCTGAAAGCAAGGAGACAGGCACAGCACACAGTAGTGAGATGATACGATAGCACCAGAGGCGGGAGCTCTCAAAGACAATGTCGCTCCAGGTCCAAACCCGGTCAAAGCTGCGGAACGAGGAAGGCTCGGCAAGGATGTCGGAGAATTCGAACTGTTGGGAGGAATGGGGAAATTGGATCTCAGAAGGTTCTCAAGCAGACAAGTTGGATTTAAGACAATCAAATGAATTTGGAACTAGAAATAACTATTTCCAATCTCTCTCAGTCTCAAACAAGGGACACACTTGTAATCTCGTGCTCTCAAGTTTGATGGCAACTGAGATCTAATAGTGACATGACTTTCACCTTAGGTAGGATGAGAGACATGAGCAGGGTTCTTCAGCTAGAAATGGGCAACAAATGATTACTGGATTTGCAACTCCCAGCCTTTCCAGCTAGGATAGATCCAAATATCTGGTGAGTTGCACTTTGGCCACCCTCTGACCTTAGCTTTTAGGTGGGTACCAAAGAATGGAGAAGACCCAACCAGTTGCCTATAGCACCTTGGCTCCTTTTGTTACCTTGAGGTGTTGGTTGATCCCTCGTGGATCCCGGGAGTCCACGTTAGGTGGGATGTTGATAGTGGATTGCAGGGGGGCAGTATCTCCTGGCTCCCGCCCATGAGCGTCTTCTGGATCCATTTTGTACTCAATCAGGTATTCATCATTGATCATCTTGCTGGGAGGGGGCGAATGGGTTTGAGATAAAAGCTGCTGGCACAAAGGCTCTCTCAGAAGGCAGAAGGCAGGAATGCTTCCAGGCACCTCCCTTATAATGCCTGCCCCCTGCGTTTCCCCTTGGCATGTAAGATACTGGTTTTATTGGCCCCTTCCCTGTTTTTAATCTACTCTATCTAGCTGCCTTCTACACAGCTTTCCTCTCTCTCTGTGCCGGAACCTGACTCCAGTTCTATTCTCAGCCTTGGCCAATATAAAAATTGGAGGGGTGAGGAGAGTTGACGAGGGTGGATCTCTCTCTCTTTCTGCAACTGCACTCCCCCGCCTGGTATTTGCAGCCATGGGGCAAGCCACATGCATGGGGACAGTGGGTATAAATATGCCACCATGCCGGGGATCCTTTGCTGAGGAGCGGAAACGGTTCAGGGGGAGGAGGAGAGAAGAAGGGAAAGGCCTGGCTAAATATATGGAAGGGCGGGGTATTCTTGGAACTGGGATCAGAATGGGGTCCAGTGACACACAGAAGAGAGGCATCAACTATGGTTTGTGCAGTGCGACTCAACTCAAGTGTTTACATTACTCTCTTAGTGACTATTTACATGGGGATACCTGATTCACATGTGCAAATATTTCCACACATGGCAGTGTTTCTGTTAGGGAAAAATACTCTAAAACAATATTTCTCAATCTGGGGGTCGGGACCACGGGGGGGGGGGGGGGGGGTCGCGAAGGGGCGTCAGAGGGGTCACCAAAGACCATTAGAAAACACAGTAATTTCTGTTAGAATGGGTGCTCCTTTAATATGGAATGAATTGTTTTAGCTGCTTTCTAAAATTTCAGAGAGATAAGTAACTGGGAACCAGAACAAGGAACCAACTTCAGAAGGAAACTTTTTGGTGTAAAGAAGTATGAGTTCATGTGATATAGCTTCTTGACTTTTTGCTGGCTGTTGTCACCTTTGTGATTGCTCATTCGTCTTAGTGGCCATTTGTAGCTACAATTGGCCCTCCACATTTGCAAGTTTAAATTTTGCATATTTTTAAAATTGTTGTTGTTGTTCATTCGTTCAGTCGTTTCCAACTCTTTGTGACCTCATGGACCAGCTCACGCCAGAGCTCCCTGTTGGCCGTCACCACCCCCAGCTCCTTCAAGGTCAATCCAGTCACTTCAAGGATACTATCTATCCATCTTGCCCTTGGTCGGCCCCTCTTCCTTTTTCCTTCCATTTCCCCCAGCATCATTGTCTTCTCCAAGCTTTCCTTTCTTCTCATGATGTGGCCAAACTACTTCATCTTTGCCTCTGCTATCCTTCCCTCCAATGAGCAGCCGGGCTTTATTTCCTGAAGTATGGACTGGTTGGATCTTTTGGCGGTCCAAGGCACTCTCAGAACTTTCCTCCAACACCATATTTAATTAATATGGTCTCTCTAAGAATCTCTAGGTTCTCTAGCACAACGGTGGTCAATCTCCAATGGATGTTGAGCATGGAGTCTTACTGGAGGATCCTGGAGGATCCCAACACATTTTCTCTGGAGGAACAATTTTAGCTTTCCTTGTCAAATAATGAACCTCTGTCAACTGTCTCCATCTGGTGGTGGATGGCGAAGCTATTTGATACGGGAGATTTGCAGGGATTGACGTCTCATTGGTGCCTACTAAAATACACCATAGTGTATTTTACCAGAGGTTTGTGAGCTTGTATTGAAAAAAAAATCAATTTATCTTTATTTTCTCTGATCTCTAACTAAATAACATTTTGTATTTATGAATGTACGCAATTCATTAGAGTAATATTCATTTCATGTCACATTACAGTTGTTGCATAGGCTTATTCATACTTTGAAATTACAGTAGTTGTTAGAGCCAACACTAGATCACATGTGATCATGGTCCTGCTGTGTTCAAACTATTGTGCGAGATGCCAGTGTTGAGCACTGGTCTGGTGGACTGAGAGCCTTGTTGTTGTTCATTCGTTTAATCATTTTCGACTCTTCATGACCTCATGGACCAGCCCACGCCAGAGCTCCCTATCGGCCGTCACCATCCCCAGTTCCTTCCAGGTCAATCCAGTCACTTCAAGGATGCCATCCATCCATCTTGCCCTTTGTAAGACCCTCTTGCTTTTTCCTTCCATTTTCCCCAGCATCATTGTCTTCTCTAGTCTTGGAGTTGCCATAGTCTGGAATGACTTGAAGCCACACAACAAGAACAACAAAAGTACTAGGGTTGCATATCCCCATTTTGGCCAGGTTTAATACAGATTCCTCCTGGAACTATCCTCTGTTCTGGATTGAAAGCTTTCTATTTTTTATTTATTTTTTTTAGAAAAGTAGGGCCCCAGTACATTGGCCATTTCACGCAGTTTCAAATCAACATTGAAGAATGGGTTTTCTCTGTGCATACGATTACATAGGAAATCCTGGAACCAGTTTTAGGTCTGGATGGTGATGAGACAAACCCGAGAGCTCTGATGTGCATTAAGGACTCTTTTTTTTTTTTTTTGCGTTGAATTAAATGATTAGTATAATGGGCAAAATCTATAGGGATGTTTTGACATGAATAATTTTGATAATATGCAAATTAGACTATCGGATTTCACAAAGCGGTTTTTAATCTGAATGTTTATGAGGAGTGAATTTAGTTACAAAGAAAACATTACAGCATTTCATATAAAGAGGTGGCTTCGTACAAGGCTTCATTTCAGATTCCTTTGGCAAGTAAACTGAATTCTGCCAGGACAAGTCTGTACCTCTCATGGTGACCTGTTGGATGGCAAATAAAGGTAGATGGATAGGTGATGATCCCATGAAATTAACTGGGAGGGAGCTGGAAAGGAAGAAGGAGAGGTCACCTCCTCAATATGTGCTCCCTTTTCTCAATGCAGTCAGCACTAGCTCCTGCCCACCTAGCGGTTCAAAAACATGCAAATGTGAGTAAATCAATAGGTATTGCTTCGGTGGGAAGATAATGGCACTCCATGCAGTCATGCTGGCCATATGAGCTTGGAGGTGTCTACGGACAATACCAGCTCTTTGGCTTAGAAATGGAGACGAGCACCAACCCTCAGAGTCGGACACGACTGGACTTAATGTCAGGGGGAAAGCCTTTAAACATTTCTCCTTCCAATGCCACTCTCAAAAAGAAGGAGCCCCCCACCCCCCATGTTGGATTTATATGCAAGCTAAGCAAGCTACAGTCTGGGACCAGCTTTCATGTACTGTATCATATAATTTTTAGAAAAACATCACTTTTGGGGAGGAAGGCTATGAAGCCTATTAAACTAGACACATTTTAGATCTAATCAAGCCCTGCCGTCTACTTCTAGGTTGGAGCTATAATGCAACTCATTTCCTAACAAGTTGTATTGATAATTTTGGCAGTAATGAGCTGAAATGGGATTACTTTTCTTTATTTCCTACTTTTCAATGGAAAGGTTTCTCTGCCTGTTCTCATTTCTGTCCTGACTGAGCCTGAACAATGGAAGTAGAAACACCAAAAGAGTAAACTGCCTTGTGATGGAGTTGGGAAGGATTGCTTGTATGGGTAGTCCCTGAGTTACAAACATTTGACTTACAAATGACTTATAGTTAAGAACAGAGGTGAGACAACAGGAAGTGAGAGAAATTTATCCCTTGGAAGAGGAAGCCACTTCCGAAAAAGTTATCATGGGGAAAAAGTGTTTCTGCTGAAGCTTTATCCCCAATCCTTGTTTCCACAGCAAACCACATTTTCCAAAATCCAATTATTGCAGGAACAGAAAGTGAGGTGAAATCTTTTGAACAGAGACACAGAAAGCAAAACAAATCCCACAAGGGTGTTAACATTTTCCTATCCTGTCTAAAGCGAAAAAAATACATATTTTTGGCTGGAGTTACACTTAAAAAATTGACTTGTTCTGATTTACATACAAATTCAACTTAAGAGCAAACCTATAGAACCTATCTTGTTCATAACATGGGGACTGCTGCCTCTAATGCCATATGTATTTTTTTTTTCAGAATGTCAATTTTTTATATTTTTAAAAAAATCTGAATTGACCACTTGGTGGAACCAGAGAGCAATTGCCTTTGGCAGATGGATTGGTTTGTCTCTGCTGAGTGCTAAGATTAATCACCTGTGAACTATTCTATACTTGGTTGTTGTAGGTTTTTTCGGGCTATATGGCCATGTTCTAGAGGCATTTCTCCTGACGTTTCGCCTGCATCTATGGCAAGCATCTTCAGAGGTAGTGAGGTCTGTTGGAAGTAGGAAAATAGGTTTATATATCTGTGGAATGACCAGGGTGGGACAAAGGACTTTTGTCTGCTAGAGCTAGGTGTGAATGTTTCAACTGACCACCTAGTGGCGCGACCCCTTAATACAGTTCCTCATGTTGTGGTGACCCCTCCCCCAACCATAACATTATTTTCATGCTACTTCATAACTGTAATTTTGCTACTATTATGAATCGTAATGTAAATATCTGATATGCAGGATGTATTTTCATTCACTGGACCAAATTTGGCACAAATACCCGATACGTCCAAATTTGAATACTGATGGGGTTGGGGCATTGATTTTGTCATTTGGGAGTTGTAGTTGCTGGGATTTATAGTTCACCTATAATCAAAGAGCATTCTCAACTCCACCAATGATAGAATTGGGCCAAACTTCCCACACAGAACCTCCATGACCAAAAGAAAATACTGTGTTTTCTGATGGTCTTTGGTGACCCCTCTGACACCCCCTGGTGACCCCTCCAGGGGTCCTGACCCCCAGGTTGAGAAATGCTGGGTTAAACCTTTGTGCTGGCAGAACTGAAGTCCGAATCTGGGGAGAGCACAGATGAGCTCCCTCTGTCAGCTCCAGCTCCCCACGAGAAAAGCCTCCCACAAGGATGGTAAAACATCCAGGCATCACCTACAATCAAAGGGTATTCCGAACTCCACCAGTGATGAAATTGAACCAAACTTGGTACACAGAACTCCCATGACCAATAGAAAATACTGGAAGGGTTTGGTGGGCATTGACCTTGAGTTTTGGAGTTGTAGTTCACCTACATCCAGAGAGCGCTGTGTTACCCAGACAATGATGGATTTGGGTCAAACTTGGCATGGATACTCAATATGCCCAAATGCGAACACTGGTGGAGTTTGGGGAAAAATAGAGCTTGACATTTGAGAGTAGTAGTTGCTGAGATTTATAGTTCACCTACAACCAAAGAGCATTCCGAACTCCACCAATGATGGAATTGAACCAATCTTGTCACTCAGAACTTCCATGACTAACCGAAAATACTGGAAGGGTTTGGTGGGCCTTGACCTTGAGTTTTGGAGTTGTAGTTCACCTACATCCAGGTAGCACTGTGGACTCAAACAATGATGGATTTGAATCAAACTTGGCACAAAGCTCCAATATGCGCAAATGTGAACATCCAGAGAGCACTGTGTTACTCAGACAATGATGGATTTGGGCCAAACTTGACATGGATACTGAATATGCCCAAATGTGAATGCTTGTGGAGTTTGGAAAAAAATAGACCTTGACATTTGGGAATTGTAGTTGCTGAGATTTATAGTCAAAACACTTACAATCAAAGAACATTCTGAACCCTACCAATGATAGAATTGGGCCAAACTTCCCACACAGAACCTCCACGACCAACAGAAAATACTGTGTTTTCTGATGGTCTTTGGCGATCCCTCTGATACCCCCTCATGCCCCCCCAGGGGTCCCGACCCTCAGGTTGAGAAACGCTACCTACAGAATGCATGATGTCTCTAGATTGACAGGTAATTTGTAAGCAATGAGTAAGTCAGCAAGTTCCTTTTTGAGATTGGAGTAATGGTAAAAACTTGGTAGTGTTTTAGGAAGTGTGGCTAGTTCCTAAGCCCACATCATACCCCAACTCCAAGGCATGATTTCACTGAAAGTTCTTTAATTTTGAATCATCTAACATAGAATAATAGAATAATAGAGCTGGAAGGGACCACATTGGCCATCTAGTCCAACCTCCTGCCACGGTGTAGTAGTTTGTGTGTTGCACTTCAACTTTAGAGATCAGGGTTCAAATCCCAGCTCAACCATGAAAACATACTGGAGAAACCTGGGCAGGTCACACATCCTCAGTCCCTGAAACAATTGTGATAGAGTTGCCTTAGAGTCACCATAGCTCAGAAGGCACACAACAACTGCAAACTAGTCCTGAATGGCACAACACTCTTTGACCATTGCAGTACACCGTTTGCTCAAAGGATTTTCTTGTGTCGCCACCTTCCTTCCAAATCCTGCCTGCTGTGGTTTCAGAAGATGGTGTCCCATCACAGAGAGAAGGAAGCTGTGAGGACAGAGTCCTCATGCAAGGATCCCATGCGCTGGCGAGCAAGCCTGGGGCAGAAGATTCGGCACAGTTCATTTGAGATGCTGCTGCTGAAGGCAGCATAGACCCAGGGGTTGGTGCAGCTGTTGAGGCTGGCAACCAGCATCAGGAGGGTGAACGCTGGACCTGGAGGAGAGAAAAGGATGGATGAGTAATCCAGACAAAGAGCAGATGCAGGAGGCCAGGGCAGCAGCATGTTCCCTGTGCACATATCTGGGGTTAGACTCCAGGGCAAGTGCACATATCTGGGATTAGACTCCAGGGCAAGTGCACATATCTGGGGTTAGACTCCAGGGATTCTAGGAGCCCACTCACACTACACAGTTATGGTGCTAAATACCCCACTTTAGCTGCCATGGTTCCATCCTATGGGATCTTGGGATGTATAGTTTGGTCAGAGGCAGAGGAAGATCTCTCTGGGTGAGAATCCTAAATGTCCCTCCTTCAGGATTCCAAAGGACAGACCCAGAGCAGTCAAAATGGAACAAGAATGTTATAATTTGATTTGTTTCATGTTACGATACATTGTCATTTTAATTGTTTGCATTTAATTTATTATGTATTTGTATTTTCACTGTGTATCGTATGGCATTGAATGGCTGCCATTTATGTTTATTTATTTATTTATTTATTTGCTAGCTGTCCCCTGCCACGCGTTGCTGTGCTCTGGTTGGCTTTTGGATGTAATTCCACGCCAGAGTCTCGGCTGAAAATAAACTTTTCTGCCTCCCAGAAAGGATCGTTCTTGGTATTATCTCTCCTATCTGCCACAACCAGAGTGAGGATAAAGGTGTTGACTTTCCCTTTTATACATCTTTAAATGCAGGCAAACAAAGAAACATGCTTCTACATATGTTAACATCACCACTACGTCACTTTAGTATCATAAAATTTCAAATTATATCTTCCAACAAATTAAGCACTGCACAATTAAACAGGGAATAACACAACAAGTTGTAAACTGTTATCAACAACCTAGGGATCCTTGTTGGACAATATTTTGAACTATATGGACATTATTTTGGACTTTAGTTTACTTTCTTAAGGAATACTCCAGTGTTTCATTCATCAGTTCAAAGACTGTGTAAATATTTTCTTAATACTTATCATTTGTTGTGAGAGTTCTAACAAAAGAGTGAAGATACTCACCGCCGTCACAAGTAAAAGGAATATATATCATTTGGAAGAGTGAATTTATAACTCTCAAGCCTCGAGAAAACTCTAGAGGGAAATTACTGAATAGCATTTAGACTTATACCCTATGCATTTTCTTCGTTATATTTATGTGCAGTTTAAACCAAGTTACACAGTTAATGTTAACATAGCTCTGTGTTGATAATGAAAGGGTGTGTGAGTGAAATTAGCAATAGCTAAGCAAGGGGCTTTGAGTGAAATTATCAATAGCTAAGGCCTTTAGCAACAAAGGAGAAATGTACCCCTATCTGTAGAAAAGGAACAACATGGAGGAAAATGTTTTTAAAACAAGAGGTGACATGTAGAGGTCATACAAAGTTCAAGGTTTTGGCTCTTTGAAAAGTCGCTATATTAGCGAGCTTACATAGGAAGTTGGTTTGTGGTTAAGCGCAAAGTCTGCAGGTGCGAGAAGATACTTTCCATCAAGAGGTTGATGGGATAGGAAGAGTAAAGGTCAAAGTACTTTCCATGACAAAAATATTCTTGTTTATATGATGGTATAAAGGTTTGTAAAAAGCTGAGGAGGGGCGCGGCAAAAGTGCTGTCTGTTCACCTCATGCTGATCAGCTTGAGTAAACAGTGTCTTACCTGAACCTATTGGACTCTGTGGGTTTCTTCGAAAAGGGACTCGGCACCCTAAACCCATGATCCCTTACAATAACAGTTTACAACTTGTGTTTTGTTATTGGTAATAATAATAATAATAATAATAATAATAATAATAATAATAATAAACCTTTATTTGTACCCCGCTACCATCTCCCAAAGGACTCGGTGCGGCTTACAAGAGGCCGAGCCCAAATACAACAATAAAACAGCAGCAACAACAACAACACAATAACTAAAAAAAACCAACCCAGAGCAATAACAATTAACAACATCCGATGATGCAATTAAAAACAATGGCCGGGCCAATTGTAACAATTAAGATTAAAAAGTGCTAGGCATGACAAGGTGGGGTGTTTGGAGGGGGATGGGCATGCAGATATCCTGAATCTCTGATAAAGTGCGTTGGGACATAGTGCTAGGAGATTCCTTATTCTGGAAAGGCACACTGGAACAACCACGTTTTCAAGCTCCTCCTAAAGATTGCTAGTGACGGGGCCTGCCTGATGTCCTTAGGGAGAGAATTCCAGAGTCAAGGGGCCACCACCGAGAAAGCCCTATCCCTCGTCCCCACCAATCGCACTTGCGATGCAGGTGGGATCGTGAGCAGAGCCTCTCTAGATGATTGTGTGGGTTCATACACAGAGATGCGGTCACGTAGGTAGGTGGGTCCCAAACCGTTTTGTAGGTAAGCACCTGCACCTTGAATTGGGACCGGAAAATGAATGGCAGCCAGTGGAGCTCCTTAAACAGAGGGTTGACCTCTCTCTGTAAGGAGCACCAGTTAACAATCTGGCTGCCGCCCGTTGGACCAATTGAAATTTCCGGGCCGTTTTCAAGGGCAGCCCCACGTAGAGTGCATTACAGTAGTCCAATCTGGAAGTGACTAAGGCGTGGACCACCCTGGCCAGATCCGCCTTCACGAGGTACGGTCGCAGTTGGCGCACGAGTCTTAATTGTGTGAAGGCCCTCCCAGCCACCGCCGACGCCTGAGCTTCAAGCGACAGTGATGAGTCCAGGAGGACACCCAAACTGCGGACCTGTGGCTTCAGGGGGAGTGTAACCCCGTCCAACACAGGTTGCCACCCTATACCCCGATCCGGTTTACGATCGACCAGGAGGACCTCTGTCTTGTCGGGATTGATCTTCAGCTTGTTCTTCCTCATCCAGATAGCCACAGTGGTCAGACACTCGTCCAGCACCCGAGGGGCTTCCTTGGAATTAGGTGGAAAAGAGTAGTAGAGTTGTGTGTCATCTGCGTAGAGATGGCAACCAACTCCAAAACTCTGGATGATATCTGTGTTTCTTTAATTACACTTTCAAACCAGGAAGAGATTTCCGTGTAATCAAATCTGCAAACGTGGAGGGCCAATTATATTTCCCAAAGCCTGACATATAGTAATGGCAGTTATTTCTCTCCCCAACATGCCCGGGACCAGGATCATCTTTCTGCTTATTGTCTACTATTGTTTCTTCCTTTCCTGAAAACTCCTCTGATATTGGAAGATGGTGGCTCATGGACCAGCCCCAGCCCATGAACCATCACTTTGAGTAACAATGCTCTAGGATGGTGAATGGTTACCGCTTGGGTAAATTTAATCCACCCAGTCCTTGCTTGCCTCCTAACCCATTATACAAGGCTCAGTGTGGGCTGGTTGTATTATGCTTTGATTTCCTTCTTTTAAAAAAATCCACATTCACTGCCAAAAAGTGCTTATATTCCATGGTCAAAATAAACAGTTTAAATCAGTACAATGACTCCAGATTGACTTAGTTTGCATAAGCTTATTTCCAATTTCTTTGCTGGCATTAAACCCATAAAGAGATTTTTTAAAAAAAGGGACATTTGGTCACGGAGCAATGGGATAGCCAGAGAAAAGCTTTAGGCAAAGAGCGAATGTGGTCCAAGGAACAGCAGGATGGACAAAACAGGAAGAAAAATATATGCAAAAATGGAAAAAGGAGTGGGAAAATAATTCTTTAAAAAACCAAGAAGAGATGAAAGAAGGCTAAGCCTTTAAAGGACAAGAAAGGCCTACACAAATTGCTTTCATTGCAGTCTGAGGGCTTGCCGACACCAACAAAAGAAAATCCATAGCCATCTCTACTCCCGTGCTGTACGAGCAGACAACGTACAGCCGTTTTAACAGAGACAGGACTTATTTTAGGCTTTGATGCAATTTTTAAAATGCAGTTCTTGGTCCACAGTTTCCAGACAATTTTTAAAATATGGGTACATCTGGAATCAGATGGCTTTGAGACAATTAAAATGTTTTTACGATGTTCAATGTTACTTGCTGGGGTCTTTTTGTATTTTGGCATTTAGGCAGTTTTCACCAGAGAACTGGAGCTCCCAGTGGTGCAGTGGGTTAAACCCCTGTGCCGGAAGGACTGAAGACCGACAGGTCGCAGGTTCGAATCTAGGGAGAGGCGGATGAGCTCCCTCTATCAGCTCCAGCTCCTCATGCAGGGACATGAGAGAAGCCTCCCACAAGGATGATAAAAACATCAAAACATCTGGGTGTCCCCTGGGCAACGTCCTTGCAGACAGCCAATTCTCTCACACCAGAAGCAACTTGCAGTTTCTCAAGTCGCTCCTGACACGACAAAAAACAAACAAAAAAACAAAACAAAAACAAAACAGAGAACTATCTCATTTCTACTCTAAATCATGCACTTTATTCCTGGCCCACCTATTAGTTACTCAATACTTTTTAAAGGGCATTCCTTAGCCTCTGTTCATTTTATTTCCGCACTTTCCACTGGCTTTATTTCGGAAGCATTGCACTTATTTGAACCTGATAGAATCATAGAGTTGGAAGAGACCTCATAGGCCATCCAGTCCAACCCCTGCCAAGAAGCAGGAAAATTGTATTCAAAGCACCCCCGACAGATGGCTATCCAGCCTCTGTTTAAAAGAAGGAGCCTCCACCACACTTCGGGGCAGAGAGTTCCACTGCTGAACGGCTCTCACAGTCAGGAAGTTCTTTCTAATGTTCAGATGGAATCTCCTAGCTTTGACTGTTATCTCAGCCTTATTGTTTTAAGATACTGTCTTCTGATTGTGTTATGTTTTTATTTGATTGATTTTAATGCTGTTTTTATTTGTAATGTGGACTTGTCCCATTGAAAACCGCCCCGCGTGCCTTTGGAGAGATGGTAGCGGGGTATAAAAATAAAGTTATTATTATTATTATTATTATTATTATTTACTGACACAAAAGCACAGTATGTCACAGCAAACGAGATCTATATGCTGGATTTCGTATCACAAAATCACAAGTCGAACACTTCCCAAGTGTCTAGGACTGTGTGATGTATTATTATTATTATTATTATTATTGTTATTATTTTACTGACACAAAAACACAGTATGTCACAGCAAACGAGATATATATGCTGGATTTCGCATCACAGAATCACAAGTCGAACACTTCCCAAGTGTCTAGGACTGTGTGAAGGGTGGAATATAAATATTATTGTTGTTATTATTATTATTGACACAAAAGCACAGTATGTCACAGCAAACGGGATCTATATGCTGGATTTCGTATCAGAAAATCACAAGTCGAACACTTCCCAAGCGTCTAGGACTGGTATTATTATTATTATTATTATTATTATTATTATTATTATTTTACTGACACAAAAACACACTATGTCACAATGAACTAGATCTCTGTGCTGGATTTCATATCACAAAATCACAAGTCGAACACTCCCTAAGCGTCTAGGACTGTGTGATGTATTTTCCAATGATACACGCACATCCAAGTAAGGTGGTCTTTTGCAATTGACAGATCGTGATCGTGCCGATGTTTATTGTTTCCAAATGCCGGCTGAGATCTTTTGGCATGGCACCCAGTGTGCTGATGACCACTGGGACCACCTGTGCTGGTTTATGCCAGAGCCTTTGCAGTTCAATTTTGAGGTCTTGATAATTATTATTATTATTATTATTATTATTATTATTTTACTGACACAAAAACACACTATGACATAGCATACGAGATATATATGCTGGATTTCATATCACTTCCCAAGCATTTAGGACTGTGTGATGTATTTTCGAATGATGTGGGCAGAATCTAGTAAGGTAGGCTTTTTGTATTTAACAGATTGTGATATTGTCAATTATTATTATTATTATTATTATTATTATTATTATTATTATTTGCATAAGCATGTTCCCAATTCACACCATGATTCTAAGCTCAAGAAGAAATTTTACAGGTATATTAAATCAAGGAGCTTGTCAAAGGATGTAGCAGACAGGACAGAAGGGAGGAAGGGAATTGTAGTGAAACCAGACCAGAGGTACAGCTAATGGCCAGACCAGTGAAACCTACTGGTGATGCTAGATATGTGTAGACAAAGATCCCTGCAGTACAAAGACTGAGAGCACATCCAGACAGTGCCTAAAATGCACGAGCACCCGTGTTTTTAACTGGGCCGTCCACACGATGCCTCAGGTAAAAACGAATTTCTTCGGGACAAAGCAGGAAAACCTTGGTTTGTCCCGAAGTAATTTGACAGCTGAAAACACCCAGATCTTTCCAGCTGTGGGCAGTGTCTGGATTGCCCCCTCAGAAGTCCTGGGACTTCTGAGGGGGCAATCTGCACAGCCCTCTCATGTTTTCCAGGCTCCAAGAGCCCGGAATATTCGAGAGGGTTCTAACACAATCCCCAAACCCCACAGAAAAGCCTTTAAAAAAGACAATAATTTACCCAGCTGGCATTTACCTGCTGCCAGCTCTCTCCTGGCGCATAGAAATGGCATACCCGGAGAAGGGGGGAGGGGCAGGAAAATTGCTCCCGGCCCCTCTTCTCCTTTCTACACACCAGGAGAGCTCTGGTAGCATGGTAATGTTGGCCAGGTAAGTTATTTTCTTTTTCAAATACTTTTCTGGGAGGTTTTCTTTTGTGTCCAGGTGCCCTGCCAAAAAGTCCAGCAGGACATCTGGCTATCTGCCCCAGAAAAGCATGAGCTTTCTGAGACTGTGTGGACTGCAACATGGGCCCAATGGGGTTTTTGTAAACCCGATTGGACCCACATTACAGTCCTGTCTGGAACCACCCAGAGGCAATTGTGCCAACTATGATCCTGAAGATATAATAATTATTTTGTTTTGTCTGACAGAATTGATGCTCATATGTTGGTTGCAGAGAATCATATCGATCACAGCACCATACAGTCTCAAGTATGTGTATGTGTTTAAATTTTTAATATTACAATGTCAAAGTTTCTGAATTTTTCCTGCTGTGCTGGGATGACGTTTTTGGTACTGCTGATTTATTAATATAGATTTATTACTATATTTGTACTGCAGAGATCTTTGACCACATAAAGTGGGGTGTCAAAGCTATTTATTTATTTAATTTATTTATTTATCTCACCCCAAAGGGGACTCAGGGTCGAGCACAACATATGTACAACAAGCATTCAGTGCAATCTCTCTCTCTCTCTCTCAAACACACACAGAAACTACTCTGAATAGCTCTTGAGTAGTTTAACATGATTTTGCAGTACTGCTTAGCATTCCATCAATGGTGGCTGATGGATCCCATTTCAGTGGAGAAACCGTTCTGGATTTTACTCCCAACTTTAAAAGGAGATACCCAAAGTACTGAAACTATTTTGAGGTGAGAGTTCTGCTCTGTGCATAGCCCTTATACAATTCAGACTAACATGTGAAGCAGATTGACTGTTCCACTAACATGAAAGCCATCAGAGGTGGAATCTCTAGTACAGGGGTCCACAGTCCCTCAAACTGTTGGAGGGCCGGATTATAATTTGAAAAATATAATCCGGCCCTCCATTATCATTCCTCACCATTAGCTAATTACAATAGCTTGGGATAATGGGAGAGGCAACCTAACAAACATCTGGAAGTCCCGACATTTCCATACCCTCAAGAGGTCATTGTAAATTACAAAGGCAGCCTTCCACATTAGACTCCGACTCCTAGCCAGCACTGTCAATGAAACCAGTGGTAACCGAAGATAAGAGTGGTAGTTAAAAATGCTTAAAGAACAGTAGGTTAGAAAGGGCTGGCATCAGAAGCTTATATTATGCATCAGCCTTCTGTTTGTATGAAATCTGGCTGGATGACCAGAAAGTGAATGCCAATGCTGAATCACTCCCTGTTGTGCCAGATTTCCCTGTAATCTAAGTCAGTTTTAGGAGCCTCATGAGAGGAAGCAAAATATGAAAAAGTACACATTTCCATTTTTATATAATTTTCTATTACTGTGGAATTGCTATGAGGCTGTCTTAAACTCAACCCAGTTTAGGTCAGAGTGGGGCATGATATGGTGTAGCAAACAGAGTTCAAATTACAACTCCCATCAACCCTAGGCAACTATGGCGAGGAGTGTTAGGAGTTGAAGTTCAACAAAAAATCTGGAGGGTCCCTTATTTCACTCTGCTGGCTTAGTGTTGCTTTTGTATGTCTTAAATCTGCCCCTGCTCACCATCAATGGGTGCTTCTGGATCCCACACCGACCAAAGCTGGACGAGGAAGAAAGGGGCCCAGCAGAAGACATAGGTCAGTACAATGACTAATGTCATCTTCAGAGTCTTGGCCACAGCACACGATATGGGGGAAGACCCACGCAGACTTCCCCTGCCCTTCAGCACTCCTTCTGGCCCCAGATGAAGGCTGCGGTGGACCTCGCGGAAGATCATGGCCTGGCAAGTGGCAATGAAGACGGTGGGCAGGATGAAGACCATCAGGGTTACCCACGTAACATAGGCCCGGGCACCCCAGGGTTCAGCAAAGGTGGCCCAGCACTCGTGAGCCCCACTGGGCAGTTCTACTTTGGAGAAAATGAAGAGCTGAGGAAGGCTAAGGAGGAAGGAAGCAGCCCAGGCCACCATCACTGGTCGGTACCAATTGCCCGGTCCCCTCCGGAAAACCAACATGGGCCGGCAAATGGCTCGGTGTCGGTCGTATGTCATGGCCACAATGACATAGGATGAAGCGAACATGCCAACCACCTGAAGATATGTGATGGCACGGCACAGGATGTCAGGGCCCTGGAAGCGGTCTGTAATGTCCCAGATGAGCTGTGGGAGAACCTGGAAGAGGGCCACAGTCAGGTCAGCCAGGCAGAGGTGGAGGATGAAGCGGTGCATTGGGGTGGGAGCAGCCCTGTGGCCCCGGAGGAACAAGGCTCCCAGCACCAATCCATTGCTCAGAGTGGCTAGCAGGAAGATGGAAGCCAAGATGGCGATCTCCGCTTGGGCCAGGGCTACATCCCGGTCATCAGAAGGGAGGAGGGAAACATTGGATGCAGTGGAGCCAGCCAGCGTCGAAGACAAGTTGAACCTTTGTGTCTGCAAAAGATGTACGTATGAGAGAAAGAGCAACAAAATGAGAGCAGCCAAAATGTGATATGGTAATACGACATTACAAGTATTACCTGTATTTGCTTACAGGTATTACTCTGGAATACCTGTAAGCAAAGGGGTCTTGTAGTAAATTTGGTTCCAGTTGGAGGAAAGAACTTCATTATGCAAGCTTTCATAGACTTAAGTTTATTTCTCATGTCAGGAGTGACTTGAGAAACTTCAAGTCGCTTCTGGTGTGAGAGAATTGACCGTCTGCAAGGAGGTTGCCCAGGGGACGCCTGGATGTTTTGATGCTTTACCATCATCATTGTGGGAGGCTTCTCTCATGGTGAGCTGGAGCTGACAGAGGGAGCTCATCCATGCTCTTCCCAGAGTCAAACCTCCGACCTGTCGGTCTTCAATCTGGCTGAACATCAGATACCCAATTGCAGTGTTTCTCAACCTGGGGGTCAGGACCCCTGGAGGGGTCTCCAGGGGGTGTCAGAGGGGTCTCCAAAGACTATCAGAAATCACAGTATGTTCCGTTGGTCATGGGGGTTCTGTGTGGGAAGTTTGGCCCAATTCCATCATTGGTGGAGTTCAGAATGCTCTTTGATTGTAGGTGAACTATAAATCCCACAACTACAACTCCCAAATGTCAAGATCTATTTTCCCCAAACTCCACCAGTGTTCACATTTGGGCATATTGAGTATTTGTGCCAAGTTTGGTCCAGATCCATAATTGATTGAGTCTACAGTGCTCTCTGGGTGTAGGTGAACTACAACTCCAGAACTCAAGGTCAGTGACCACCAAACCCTTCCAGTATTTTCTGTTGGTCATGGGAGTGCTGTGTGCCAAGTTTGGTTCAATTCCCTCCTTGGTAGATGGCGCTATCCACCAACCTCTGTTAAAAGCTTCCAAAAGAAGGAGCCCCACAACACAGTGCTCTCTGGATGTAGGTGAATTATAACTCCCAAACTCAAGGTCAATGCCCAAACCCTTCTAGTGTTTTCTCTGTGTCATGGGAGTTCTGTGTGCCTTATTTGGTTCAATTCCATCATTGGTGGAGTTCAGAATGCTCTTTGATTGTAGGTGAACTATATAACTCAGTAACTACAACTCCCAAATGTCAAGGTCTACTTTTCCCAAACTCCATCAGTGTGTATATTTGGGCATATTGAGTATTCATGGCAAGTTTGGTCCAGATCCATCATTGTTTGAGTCCAAAGTGCTCGCTGGATGTAGGTGAACTACAATTCCAAAATCCAAGGTCAATGCCCACCAAACCTTTTCAGTGTTTTCTGTTGGTCATGGGAGTTCTGTGTGCCAAGTTTGGTTCAATTCCATTGTTGGAGTTCACAATGCTCTTTGATTGTAGGTTAACTATAAATCCCAGCAACTACAACTCCCAAATGACAAAATCAAACAAAATCAATCCTTCCCTTGAACCCATTGCACCACCGGGGGCTCTGATAAGGAGATAATCTGGGATCAGATCCTGGGATAGTGTGGAAGGGTAGAAGGGGCCTTTGTGAGAAAGACCGAAGCCGCTTTTGGCTGTGTGTTCCACCTTCTTAATCACTTTTGCCATCATGATCACAGTATGATTCTGCCTGACCGTATATGTCTTGGTTTTCATCTGTGAAATATGAGTCAGTATGTTTCCATAGCATATCACTATCTGTGATCTACCCTGGATGCTGTTTTTTTTTAAAAAAGGGAAAACAATCCTGCTCTCATTTGGGGATACTGGGATGGGACCTATTGCATGCTCAGAGCCCCCTTTAATTTAAGACAGAAAATCAGCATATAACAACAACAACAACAACAATAACAACAATCCTTATTATTTCCCAAATGGTTCCCTACAATATCTTGTTTCACCATAAATGGCTTCAAAAACAGTTCTAATTACTTTGCAGATCGATTGCTGTATGCTAGACCTAATACTATTCCCTTAGGCCAGCTGGATTCTGTATTGAAACCATTTTCATTGTGACTTGTGACTCATAACATTTTAATTGATGTTTTTAATAAGTTATGTTTTGATTCTTTGGTTTTAATTGTAATTGTGTATTGATACATGCAGAGGTGGCCCTAGGTAATTTTCAACGGTAAGCAAACAGTATTTTGGCGCCCCCCCCCCCAACCAATCATTGATATATATTTTCTGTTCGTCGTGAGAGTTCTGTGTGCCATATTTGGTTCAATTCCATCATTGGTGGAGTTCAGAATGCTCTTTGATTGCAGGTGAACTATACATCCCAGTAACTACACTTGCCGCACTTGCTCCCTTGCCTGGCCCGCTTTGGGTCCGGAGGCGTGCCTGAAGACCCCGGCGTGTGCACCAAAAGTCACCTCTTCTCCTGACTTTCTCCTCAGCCATTGGGACCAAGAGAGAGAGAGAGAGACAGAGGTGGAGATGCCCACCTTTCCTGAAGGTAGGGAGCGGAGGTGGGAGATACCCCCATAAAAAAGTAAAAAAGAAAAAAAAAACACAAAGGAGGGAGTGGAGGTGGGAGATACCTCCAGCCAGAGGGGCTCTCTCTCTCTCTTTCTTGGTCCCAATGGCTGAAGAGAAAGTCAGGAGAAGAGGCAACTTTTGGTGCGCACGCTGGGGTCTTCAGACACGCCTCCAGACCCGAAGCAGGCCAGGCATGGTGGCTCCACCCCCTTGGCCCACCCGCGGATTAGGGAGAGGAGAGGAGGCGGGTGGAGCGCCGGGGGATCGGGAAAGGGAGCCGGTCATGGGGAAGGGATCGAGCGCGGAGAACGATTGAGCGCCGGCTCTGCTCACGCACCCGGTGGCCGGGTGGAGCAGGAACGAGAGGGGCTAGGCGAGGCTCAAGGGCCCGGCCCCTTTGGGAAGAGGATCGCCCGGCAGCAAGGCAAGAAAGCCGAGGCTCCCCCCGGACTGCTAGGGCTGTTGTGAGCTGAGAGGGTGCTCCTCAAGTGGCGGTCGAGGGCCATTTACAGAGGCGCCTCTGCGCCCCTGGCAAAAAAAAAGTGTTCTGCGACCGCTTACTTCGCATAATGGACGAGCCGCCCCTGGATACATGTATGTTTGGCATCAAATTGCTGCTTGTTGTAAGGCCGCCTTGAGTCCCTCTGGGTTGAAAGAGGCAGGATTCAAATATAGTAAACAACCAAATAAATAACATCAGGTGGATCATATCTTGTGTGTGAGATCTATTATTTACTCACCATGCTATCTGTGGTGATATGAGGGTTGAATGAAAAGTAATGCCTCCGCCTTTGTTACTTGTGTTTGGATGGGAATGTTTTAATAAATCAAACACAGAAATAACTCTCACAACCACCATGTCAGGCTACACAGAGAAGCCATTGAAATCCACAAGCATGTGGACAATTTCAACAGAAAGGAGGAAATCATGGAAATGAACAAAATCTGGCTACCAGTATTAAAAAACTCCAAAATTAGAACAGCACAACAACAGAGAGGAAACAAACAAGGACATCTAATCACCTCTCAACAAAAGATTGCCCAGGCACTTCAGGCTATCAAATGCTAATCAAGGTGGTCAGTTGAAACATTACATTATCTTAATCTGACAATGTGCTGCATTACCTAGGGCCGCCTCTGCCGGTGGCACAGTGGGTTATTAACGGCTCTGTGTGCCGCAGGACTGATACGGGCGGGGGGGGACAAGGCACAGGTCGAATCCGATAGAAGGTCGGTATGAGCTGACTCTCTCTTACATGCTAGCTTCCACTCCTCATGCGGAGGGTGCCCGGCATCCTCAAAGCATGAGGAGAACCCTCCCACAGGGATGATAAAACATCAAAATATCTGAGCATCCCCTGGGGCAACGTCCTTCAGGCTGCTTGGTACGGTGCCAATTCTCTTCACTAACCTATGTAAGCGCTTGTCAGTTCTCAAGTCGCTCCTAGGACACAACTCAAAAAACAGTTGTAATACATTCACGACCTAGGCGTCCTAGGCCATACTAGTAGTCGCTTTGTCTGCATCCCTGGTCATATCCACAGATTATATAAACCCCCTTTGTTCCTAGTTCCTCCTAGCAGTAGCTCGCTGGCTCTCTGAGGATGCTTGGCCATAGATGCAGGCGAAATCACGTCAGATGAGAGGATGCCTCTAGAGCTCTATTGTCCGATATAATAGCCCTAAAAATCAAACGCAGAAATAATCCTTAGAATGTGCTCTTTAACTACCACTATTCACTTTTCCACATAATCACCAGACAATTGGATACATTTCTGCCAACGATGAACAAGTTTTCTGAAGCTGTCACAGAAGAAGTCGACACTCTAAGCATCAGCATCCTGGGTACCCATCGTGCACAGATCTTCCGATAGCCAAGCAAAGCAATAATGTGACCCACACGTTCTTGTGAAATGCCGATTATGCTTGAAATTTCTCTCTGAGTGATACGACGATCGTCCTGAATCAATCTGTCAACCTTTTGCTCATGAAACTCGGTGGTTGCTGTCTCAGGACATCCAACTCTTTGTTTCTCATGCAAATCAGATGTTCCCATCTCAACATCTTTAAACTTACTCACTCAACGATGCACAGTACTCACATCAACACAATCACCATAAACAGCTTGCATTCTCTGATGAATTCCTGGGGGTGGCAACCTTCTGCATTTCTAACAGAACAAAGCAAACAAACAAAGAAAATACAAAATGTGTGAGTTTGGTAGTTGATTAAATGTCCTTTGACCAGTATCTGGCCACTTGGAGTGCCTCTGCTGTTACTATAAGAAGGTCCTCCATTGTGCGTGTGGCAGGGCTCAGAGTGCATTGCAGCAGGTGGTCAGTGGTTTGCTCTTCTCCACACTCGCATGTCGAGGATTTCACTTTGTAGCCCCATTTCTGAAGGTTGGCTCTGCATCTCGTGGTGCCAGAGCGCAGTCTGTTCAGCGCCTTCCAAGTCGCCCAGTCTTCTGTGTGCCCAGGGGGGAGTCTCTCATTTGGTATCAGCCATTGATTGAGGTTCTGGGTTTGAGCCTGCCACTTTTGGACTCTCGCTTGCTGGGTGTTCCAGCGAGTGTCTCTGTAGATCTTAGAAAACTATTTCTTGATTTAAGTCGTTGACGTGCTGGCTGCTATCAGAACAGAGGATGGGCTGGAGATGTCACTGCCTTGGTGCTTTCATTATTGGCTGCTACTGTCAGGTGGTGCAATACCAGCTAGACAGTATAATTTCTCCAATGATGTGGGGTGCGCAGACACCCCGTGATAATGCGGCATGTCTCATTAAGAGCCACATCTATCTGATGAATCTCCTTTGGGATGACACCTTCTGCTGTCAAGAATTCAATGACTGCACATTGCTTAAGTTGCATTGACCGAACCATCTGCACAGGGTTCCATACTTCGCACTTTAACAACACAACCGTTCAATGCTAAGGCTTCCCACCAAAATGGAACTGTAGAGGAGAGTCTACTGAACAAGCCAGTACCTGCGCATACCAGTACTGCCATCTGTTGAGGAGTTATGAAGGTGGAGGCATTACTTTTCATTCAACCCTCGGTATTAATCACTTGGGGTAGAGGCATTCTCTCCTGACGTTTCGCCTGCATCTATGGCAAGCATCCTCAGAGGTAGTGAGGCATTACTTTATTGCAAGGGTTTCATTCAACCCTTGCAATAAAAAAAGAAAACACAATTTCCTGCAAGAAACCTTATTGCTTCTGTATAGTGGGAGAAAAAGAAGAAACTTTTGCTGGGAGGGTTGCCACTGTCTGTAGGTGAATGTGGTTTGTTAGAAAGCAGGGTGAATGGAAAAGACAGATGAAAATTGGAACGTGTATGGCCAAGCCAAATCAGAATGCGGTCAAAATGGCTCAAGTTATTAATTGAAGAAAAACATACAAGCTAGAAGCAGTTGTGGATATATGCTTTTGGTTGAACATACTGAGAAAGACAATTTTTCCACTCCTTCTCTCTCCTGTTCTCCCACAGTACAAAATACTGTTGCACATTGAAGCCAATTTATGGAAAATTAAGTGCTGGAGAGACAGATGAGAAGGGGAAGGAAGGAAAATAAATTAAAATCTTTAACAGCAGCTAAAAAGTGAAATGACAGAGAATTAATCTAGGACAGGCAGCTGGAAGACATGCAAAATACTCTACTTCCAGAAGTCACATCAATCTTTAGTGATGTAACATGTTTAAACATTTACCTTGTCATCCATGGCTGGAGCATTCAATCGACAGCGGCTTCAGGAATGAGACCTCAGCTCGACCACTCACTGTTTCTTTCCAGAACCCATAGAGAAGGAGCAGATCATTCAAAAAGAAGAGAGAAATACATCTTTCTTTATTCTGAGTTTCTCCAAGTTCTTCTTAACAGCAAGGGAGCGTGAAGTTGTTCCCAGTGAGAAACTCCTTGCAGTCTTAGATAACTGGAAGGATGGATGGAGACGAGGGAGGAGTGGGGTTTCAAACTGGGTTGGCTTTCCCCCAGTTCTCATGGAAAGTGGGAAGCTGATGAAATTTGACCCCATGCCAAACACACTGGCTTTGCAATGGGTAGATGTTTCCTCTAAGAGGGAAGGAGGCATTTCACGAAAAGGAAGGGGGTGGTGGGGAACAACAGGAGCGGAAAGCAGGTGACTGTTTTCCTCCCTCTATGAACATTGATTCCAACTGTGTGAACATTAGGATCAGGGTCAACTGCAGTACCAAAGTCATCCTAATTCTGAGTCTAACATCTTAAAACATTGCCTAGCTTTTGCTTGTGTATGTGTATGTGTTTGTGTAACATAATTACAAATGATACCCCTACACATATAGATGTATCTTAGGA